CAAGCCCGAGCGAGGACCCAGCCCCACACCCCAGGGGATCGAGGCCCCTCCTAATAATGCAGGTGATGTCTCCTGCCCAGATGCCCACCCTGATGCCGAGAGTCCGCCTCAGTCCCTCCCGCTGCTGCTCGGCTCGACTCTCAGAGAAAGCAAAGACCTACTGGGTTCACTCCCACGCACACGGGACGCATGGGGACTGCAGGAGCTGCTCCCTTGCATAGGTCCTTTCCTCTCCTTGAGGCTCACCCTGTGCCTGGCTCTGGGGCCCCCGTGTCACCATGCAGCCATCACGCAACCCCCATATTTGTCCCACCAAGATGGGCTCCAGTGACTGCCTCCCAAAGGCAGCCGCTTGCCCCGCCTGGTTGAGCAGAGTCGGGTGGGGAGTGATGATCAGAGCATATTCCTTGCCCTAGAGGAAGGGACCCTCATGGGCCCCAGAATAGTCCACGACCAGGGAGACCCAAGAGCCCAACTGCTGATCCCAACCTGGAGCCCGGGACCCATCCTCTGCTCTGGGTCACAGAGGCGTCAGCCGCGGGCTCCTGCCCTCCACAAGCTCCTGCGTACCAGGCACCATTCTGGGCATCAGGGAAAAGGCAGAAGAGAGTCAAGGTTGGCAGCCAAGGTCAAGGCAGAGCCTGGGCTGAGCAAGAGCAACAAGGAGGAAATGGCCACCCCTGAGTCCTGGACCGAGGGTCCCAGGAAGTGCCTGCAAACATCCAGAGGAGAAGGAGAAGGAGCAGGAAGGAGGGTAGGGGTTCTGCCTCTGGGGCCTGGCTGGCTTGGGCCTGCCATGGCCTCAGAAGCCTTTACGTGGATGCAGCTCAGACCACCATAAGTGGCTCGCACCCCATGCTCGAGTGTTCAGGCAACCTGACTGGTTTCCTCCTGAGGGCAGGAATTCCGTCTCTCTCGGTCACTCCTCCGTCTCTGTGCCTGGCACAGTGAGCACTTGAGGAACGGGCCAGGGCGGCTTCACGATTCACCAGTGGGGCTGGGGAGGCCGCCGCACGTCAGAGCAGCCCCTGCTGGGATTCAGGCACAGCTGTCACAGAGGTCCTCTTCCGTGTGCCAGGCACAGAGACCGGGGTTGTAGGAAGATTCCTCTATGGAGAGAAGAAATTCGCCCACAAAACACAGAAAAGCCAAGTTCGAGATGAAGCTGTATCGTATGGTCAAAACTGTATTAAGGCTGCACACGGGGCTCAGGCCTGTGATCCCAGAACTTTAGGAGGCCAAGGCGGGAGGATTGCTTGAGGCCAAGAGTTTGAGACCAGCCTAGGACAAGACCCTAACTCTACAAAAAAAAAAAAAAAAAAAAAAAAAAAAAAAAAAAAAAAAAGTTTAATTAGCCAGGTGTGGCGTTGCACACCCATGATCCCAGCTACTAGGGAGGCTGGGGCAGGAGGATCGCTTAAGCCCAAGAGGTCAAGGTTTAAGTGAGCCATGGTTGCGCCACTGCACTCCAGCCTGGGTGGCAGGGCCAGTCCCTGTCTCCAAAAATAAAGAACAAATAAACATTACTAACAATCTGTGGCATTTACTGACCACATATCCCACGCCGCGCAGCAGGCCCCATGCTGCACATGAGTTACCCGCTGACTCCTCACGTCCCCTTGGTCAGGTACCATGAGCACACCTATTTTGCAGATGAGGAAACAGAGGCTCAGGTAGGTGAGGGGACTGGCCCGTCCCACAGCCAGGCACACAAGGATGCCAGCAGCCTCACCAGCAGGTTGGAAAAGTGTGGGCCAGACCTCAAAGAAACTGGGCCGCCTGCAACGCTGACCGCCACCGTCTAACTCTTCGCTGCAGGGCGACCCCATCCACCTCTCCCTAGCCTGTTGCTGGTGGAAGGCTGAGGATCGGGTTAGGGCTGGAGCCAGGCAGAATCCCGGCGTGTCCAGTGAGGACCACACTCCTGGAGCCTTTAGAACATTCCTTCTTCTGCACACACACAGACTACCACAGACAGAGCCAGAGTCACCCACCAAGGACACTGCCCAGTGCAGTGACGTGGACCTGTGGCTCCCCTGTGGGCCTCCAGGGCACTGCGGCCAGCTGTAGGCTAGGACCCCCAGCATACACCAGATCTGTGGTCTTCAATCCGGGTTCCCCAGGACCACAATCTGTACCACGAACACGTGTCAAGGATGCAAATTCCTGGGCCCCAGCCCAGGAATCGGAAATCTGGGCAGGCAGCCCAGGCACCTTTGTGTGTGTTAATCAACCAGGAGATTCTGACATTTGAGAGTCCTTCCCGGCGAGCTCCTCTTGACCCCATACACAGAATCCCCCAGAACAAAGAGCAGATGGCTCTACTACCCATCAGAAGGAAGCCCATCTGGGGACTGGAGAACAAGCTGGGGGCTTTCTCTGCTTGTCCTGTTGGGAAGCTTTTCATTCTGTGGACCTACCAAAGGCCAACACATGGGGGGAACACAGCTGTGAGTGCCACACACAAGGGCCTGCATTGAAGGAGCTGACGTCAGTGTGGGAGGCAGACAGGAGGTCAATGAACCCACCGCCACCTCCGGCGGCCCACCCCTAATAAGGCCTTCTACAGAGGAAAAGTACCCAGGCCAACTCTCTCCCTGCCCAAAACTGTTCCACGTCTCCAAAGGCCTTTAAAAATAGCCCAGCCCAGCACCACAAGGGCCAGCTCCTCACAAAGCTTTGTTGACTCAACTTCTCTCAAAGTTGACAGGTCTGCCTGGAAGAGGGGGCCAGACAGGACGATCACCCCAGGCTCTTCTCATTTAGAATCCACCATCGTGGGTTTCTAGTCAGAAACAGACACCCAGAAGAGCTTTTTTTTTTTTTTTTTT